TTAAAATTTTTATTTTTTTAATATTTTTAAACTAGTTTTTATATATAAAAAATTTATAATAGTTTTTATACATATAATTAAAAATTTAATATTTTAAAAATGTCTGATAAAAATAGCTAAAAATTTTTTTATAAAACAATCATAACTACTATATTTATATATATTAATTTTAAACTAATATCTTTTAAAATGATTGAGATATTAATCTAAGTGTAAAACTTTTCAATCACTCTATATAGTAAAAATCTTAAATATTTAAGTTTTAATAAACTTATTTGCAATCAAATAATATTAAAATTTTATAAGAGTACTACTATTTTCTTTTAGGTTTACATAATATAAGTGTCAATTTTAAGTCTTAGGCAATAAGCTTTAATTATAGTATAGAAAGTTTTTTAAATAAAAAATTTTTTTTAAGTTATTATTCTTGTCTCATGTAAATTGTAAAAGAATCTTAAAATTTTTTGTTATTGCAATCTTGTGATTTGATTGGTTACAGGCTACCAGGCTGGCAGGTCGATTGGCTTATGGGTTGGCAAATCAAATTATATGAGTGGATTTAACTCCAATCAATTATATTTCATGATATGATAATTGGGTTAAATATATATAATATAAAATTGCATACAAATTTATTACATGAAGAATAATTTTTAAGGCTTTTAATAATGCAGTATATAATTCTTCTATTTAAAAAGAAATATAATAAATTTATTAAAAATAATATAGCAAGTCTAATTAAAAAAACATGAGAAAATGAATATTAAATACTATTATTTTCGAAATTGGTTTTATAATACAGTATTTTCACTAAGAGTATTTCACTTTACACCTGTACTTTTAAAAATATTTGTTTTATAATAAAATATTTCAAAATTTTTGTCTCTTAATCTTCTACAGTAGCGATCATAAGTAATGCAACACGTGATAATTTTTATAATAAAACATAGTAACTACTGAAAAAATATTTTTTAAAAACTACAATTGATGAAATTTATTCTGATATTAAGAAATTATTTTTAAAAAAATTTTCTAAAAATTTTTATTATAGAGTAAAAATTTCAATAGTTACTATGTTTTATTATAAAAATTATCACGTGTTGCATTACTTATGATCACTACTGTATGTAATTCATATATATAGCACGATAGTCTAAAAACTTTAAAAAAGAGATTTGTAAATATGAAGGTGTTAAAAAAAATAATAAATAAACAAAAGACAGAAAACCTGATATAAAATTTTATTTAAAAGCTAATATTTTTAGTTTCAACACCTTTTACTTATTTCTATCTATTTCTACTTATTTCTATTTATTTTAACAAAAACTATCTATAACCAATTTATAAACTATGATTGCAAGTAGATTCAAGAAAGATAATTGTTTATAATTAGTTTAGAAATCATTTGATCATAATATTGATTTTTAGTGTAAAACAAATTCGTAATAATCACAAATTTTATATAGAACAAATTTACTGTATTTGATTGGCACAAATTTGAAGATCTTATTTGCAAATATCACAAATAATCATCAAATGGAGTCAAATTGGCCTATATGTGCTCATCTTGTTATGTGGTCAATTTTCATTGGTTGATCTTGGGGTGCATGATCATGCAGATGCATGGAATTTTTAAACCCTATTTTTATTATGTATTGTTTTAACTTCTAATTGAGTTAAGATAATAATAAATAATCAAAATAAAAATTTTTTTATATTATAATCTTATAATATTTCTATATTGGCCACCTATACTAAAGGAGATCCGAAAATTTTATTAGCAGAAGTTTATTTAACTAATGCTATTCAATTAACAAGAGATAAAAACCCAAATATCTTTTTTTATTATAAAGTTGTGATTGATTAGAAAAAATAATTGTTCAAAAACCTTGCTCTTTTTATATTATTATTATTATGGATTTTCAAAATTATTACAAATTATTACCTTAAGCTAAAAATCTTCACCACAAATAAAAAGTAGGCTTAGATTGCTTTATTCTTTGTTTTTTTTATAAAAGTTAGCTCAAGCATTAATTGCAATCAATATTTTAAAATTGCAATACTTGAACACCAATATGATCATAAATTGAGGAAGATATGTGAGCATATTTCACACTATTGGTTCTCAAAAATGGACTAATTAATAATGTTATAATGGTTGTACACTATCTAAATTAGTAGCTAGCATGCTGCTAAAGAATGCAAATTTGTACTACTGTAAAGTGCCAACCGATGTATCCGGGTATTTACAAAGACTAGAGATATCCCTGCTGTATATTTTTCATCCAACTTCTATTATTTGAATAGCATCCGGGTACAACTCATAAGGGGATCTAATGGCACTTTATGGTATAATCTGATTGGTGAATCCGTCGTTTCATGTGATTTTTATTTAATTCTTATTGGTTAGGGATATCAACAGGGGAATATTAATTATAAAAAAAATTATTTTATGTTGATAGTGATACCAATGAGGGATATTAATAAAGTTGATATATGCGGGGGAATTTTTATATATGGAAATTTATTTTGTTGAGAAAGTTGATATTAACGGGGGTAAACTATATATAGTTTAGAATATAGAAATTTTAATTTTAGTCCTATAATTTGTGTAAAAATTACAAAATTCTTTATCCGACAAATTCCAATCAGGGGTACAACATATATGCTTATTATATATATAACATATTTATAAAATGGGTTATAATTTAAAGTTTGACTGCGTATAGTAGTAATCTTGGCGATTCTTAGCTTCCACTGACAAGTTGACTTGGGTCACGTCCAAGTTCAGCGTTTTTAAACTATAATTCTTAATTCGCGATAAACAATATATAATAGAAGAACCAATATCATTCTGACTATATAGTATATTATTATAAAATAAAACCGAATTTCAAATCCAGTTTTACTCGAATGCATTATAAACAAATTGCTTTAATACACTACAACCTACGATTCTATACATTCTAGCTTGTACAGGAAACATCTATTATTATTAATTATTTTTTCGTAAAAGTCCACTTTAATCATATAAAAGGCTTATAATCGAAAATTGTCTGTTGACCTAAAACCTATTTAACTAATTTATTTGTCCATTTCATGTATGGCTGTGCCGATAGCGTTGCAAGTGTTGCTTGAGTACGTCGACTTCTTCGTACTTCTTGAGATGAATATGAAACGGACATATCCTGATTCGATTGATAAACTATCATTAGAAGTTGAAGTAATAAGAGAATATAATAAAGGAAAATACACACCTGTTGTCGTTTATTCATGCTTAATGAAATATCTTGATAACGTGCCATCAATTCGTTACTCAGCGCTGATTCCCTTATTCCTTTGGTATTGAGCCATTGTCTTAACTCTTCAACCTAATAAAGTAATTTACAAAATTAAAACAAGAATTTCAGATTATCAACAAAATTTTAAACTAACCTGACTTATTTCTTCGTAATAACCCCATCTCGTTTGATTGTCAGAGTCTGAGCCGAAAGACACTTCTTCAACCTTTCGTCTCTTATTAAAACGTTGTTCTTCCTTCTCAGTCATTATTTGTAAGTCATAAGTGCTTGGAGTCTCTACAAAAATTCTTCCTGTTCCATATTTTTCACCGACTGCAGCACCTATGCAATCAGTATAATAATATTTATTATAGAAGCGATCACGTCCCAGGGGTAAGATCCGTGGCAATGCGTATTTTCGTTTGTCCTTTTCAATTTGTTCCTCCTGAAATTTATATATCAAAGAATTATTTTTTTTACAAGTACAATTAGTAATAACTTTTTTTTTTAAATCATACCCTTTTCTGTATTGCGATTTCCTCTTCTTCTAATTTACGTTTTCTGGCATTCAATGCATCCGAACTATCACCTACAGGACTGCCTACTACGTTTCCAGCATTATTCAGAGTGTTTGCTTTGGATGTTGATGGGAGATTGCCCTTCGAGATTTCTGCAAACGAGCATAAACTAAAATTCAAAAGACATTTTATTAAACAAATATCTTAAAATTTTAATTGTTACATTCTAAGTTTATAAAACATACAGTTGCCGTTTCTCTTTGATAAGGTCGTTTTTTTCTTTGTTGAGCTCTGCTAATTTTTCTGAACATCTATCGATGTAATCATGAATTGTGGTAGTTTTTGTCGTAAGGTTGACTAAGAAATTCAATATTTGCAATTTATCTGGTATTTCAAGGGTCACGTAATTTTCTTCAAAGTCTTCATCAGAATCAGCTTGATCATTAGGCACTAAATGTAAGAGTATGTTGTCCAAATTTGGAATAGATTCATATGTACCCAACTGTGAACATTAAATATAAATAACATAGAATAAATAGACTGGATGGTATAAATAGTAACCAAAAAAAAAAAAAAAAAAAACAGTTCACACCTGTTGAATACACCCAATAAGAACACCTTCCCAACCTCTTCGACCATCACCAGGAGATATGATTCTCTTATCCCATCTTTTCCCTAATTCGGTTAAAATTTCTTGAGTTGAACCTGATATACTTTCATCATTAGCTTGATCCGTTTGTGGATCACTATCGGATTCGTTTTTTATATCTCTAGCAGTGGTATTACGGGAAGTCATTTGACGTTTTTTGCCTTTGAAAAACAATTGATCTTTTACGATTGCATTTAGTAATGCTACGTGCGTTTCAATTACTAAGTAACATCGAAGATTTGACATATTATGGCAAAGCGATGTTTCAAAATCATCGAGTGTACAAAATGACAAGCCCAGCGGCTTCCTGAATAAATAAACATCAATTAATATTTACCAAGGTTTAACGTATTTAAGGAGAATAGTAACAATAATCTACCCAAATATTGATAGAAAATTCCAAATCATTAACAAAGTTCCTACAGACTTTTGAGGAACTTTAAACTCTTGACTCAGTAAAGGTCTCTTTGGAAGCAAAGTTTTATCAAGTGGAACTTCCAGATCTTCTATGGGGTACTTAACTGTCGATTTTACAAGTATATTTAATGAGTTGCATTACGTGATTAATGAGCCTTTGCAAAACGAACTCTATCTTACTTTTCTTTGCTTCAGCCTTTAAACGTTTTTGTTCTTCCTTTTCCTTCAGCTTCTTGTCTCTTTCCGCTTGTCGCTCAGCTTCTTTGCGTTTCTTTTCAAGTTCCTGTTGCTTTTTCTTTTCTTGTTTTGCCTTTTCCGCTGCAGATTTACCAGTTTGTTTCTTTGATGCCTGCTTCTTAGAAGAAGACTTCTGATTGCCTTGTTTCTTGGATGTGACCTTCTTACTTACGGAGGTAGAATCTTGTTTTTTTGAATCTCGTACGCTATTGCTAGTTCCTTTATTATTCTTTGATTTCTTTGCAGGTGTATCACGTGACGCGAGCTTTAATTGTAAAGGTGTAAAACTTTTATTAAATGAATCCTACTAGATTCAAGCATGAAAAAAGGGCCTTAAAAATACTTACCTTTCGTTTCTTGCTTTTTTCTATAGCCTCATCTTTGGCTCGCTGTAAATCTTCCGGTAGCTTAGTCGACACTCCGTATTTTTTTGCTAATCTTTTCTAGTAATGCATTTTAAAAACTTAATAAAATTTATAATTTCATGGAATTGACACAAAAAAAGTGAACATATCGTAGTATACCTCGACTAACCACGGAGCACGGACATAAGTACCTTTGGATGCAGACTCTTTAATGAACTGACGAATAAGAGTCTTGGTGAACGATAGTTTGTCCACGCGGCTAAATTTTATTATTGAACAGTCAATTAAGATAGCAGCATGATATGAACAACTGATAATATTTCATTAGATCAAGGCAAACCTCATAGCTTCGCCACCATTAAAGGTCCTCGTTATATACTTCTTATTGCTTTTTTGCCTCAATGCGTTTCCGCTATCGTCTAACATTTGTACACGATAGGTAATTTGCGAAGACACGGCTTTGCGAGACTTAGAGCTACTTGCCTTCACCCCGGAAGAGCTCATTTCCTCGTTCGTGTCATCAAATTTGACATCTGCTATCTTTGCCTTGAGTCTATCGTGACAAAATAATAAATTAGAATGTCTAAAAAAGTGAAACAGTTTAGATAAACGTGTTATATGAATTTACTTTTTCCCGTCTGATACTACGTATACAATTTCACCAAGTGCAAATTGGTCTTTATGCTTTTCAAATATTCTGTTCACAAGGACATCCAACCTCTCCGTTTCTATTTATTAAAAAAAGATAATAAAAAAAAAAGCGTATTTTAAACCAAAAAATAAAAATAAAAATAAAATAAAATAAAATAAAAATGAATAAATTAGTAACGTGTCTTTATTGAGTAAGAGATCATAGAATATTTTACCCACGAAATTGAACAAACTCCAATATTTGACGTTTCAAACCCTCTGGGAACTTTTCTTGCAAAGCTTCTCTATGCGTGTTCTCACTATCAAGCGCTTCTTTGTAGGTAAGACCTTGTTTACCCGTTAACGCACATTGCCAAATAGGTCTGTTATAAAGTGCAATACGTGCCAAATAATCCCTAAAAAATAGTTGTAATTAAAGACGAAGTCGGAACCGATATAATTTGGGTCAAGGAAATATCGAATTATTTCAAACAGCTCTAAATGTACAGCTCAATTTGTTTGGTATTAGAAGCATAAGTGAACGATTTACACGAAAGACTATAAAAGCCTTGATGAATTCTTTTAATTATAATTTTTTTAGGATGTTTGAATTTGATCAACTAATTGATAGACGTAAAAGGATACTCATATTTAATAAAGATTTCATGGGTGTACGGAATTACCCAAACGTTGCGATCACCATGTTCGGAAACATCTAGCTTTGGTGCGGGAATTAGAGGAATTTGCTTCCTTTGATAAAGAGGCATTCCTGTCAAAGACAATAATATAATGCCAACGATCTAATACATATAAGAGTTCGAAGATGTGTGGAAACTTTAGAATAAGAGCATAGAATCCGATAAACGTTAGGAGTTATTATCATTTGGTTTTAAGAAGCCAAAAAACAAATGCATGGTTAACTTACTCGAGAGTAAATATTAACTAACGGATCTCGAGATTAGAAATCTTATACTGGAAAGAAGAGCAACGTTATTACGTTATTGTATCGTTTATTGGGGTTGTTTATTTTTGGTACGTGGTTTATATAAGAAATCATTACGTTTCACAATATGCAATTGGACGTCCAAAATTCAAAATTGCTTGTTTTGAAATTTGTGACCAGATAGCTGTTAAGTCTTTTTCATCCTAGCGTTAATATATACGCGATCTATCATCTAATCTGATACGGGTAATATATCAGAGATATATTTAATGCCAAATACTACAGTATTAATAGATCTCATGAGATTATTATAATTGTAGTAATTATCAAATACCCAACGATAATTAACGTCAATTCAAGTAATGTCGCGATATAGTTTTTAGATTATTGCACGTAAATGCAACGCGTCTTACTTATTACTAGTGCTTCAAGTAACAATTTAGAAGTCCAGAATGATGAACTGTTATAGTGACTACTTGACTTTTATGATTCCAAAAAAAGCTGTTGTTCAAACGCGTTTACGTATGTAATCACGTGAGCAATTCACCGACGATAACACTAACTGCTATTGGGTTTTTATAGTTTCATAGTTCTGCAGTTAGAGAATAGAATGGCTTTCTTGTAACTTGTTCTTAATTATATTATTTTGAAAACCTATTCGTGCAAAAAGACTGGATAATTTTGTCGTTTCTAGCAATCGTTATAATATTCAAGCTGTTGAGCTTTCGTGATAATTCAAACTGATTATAAGAACTTATTACCGTAAATACTTGGTATATAGTGCATTATGCCTGTAGACTACCTATGCTGCTGTAGCTGATAAGATTGTGCATTATGTATTCAACCAATCATCATCACGGATTGTTGTAATCACGTGATAAAGTTGGTTTTTCGGTTAGTGTTTTTATTCGCTACGGATAACAATGTATTCGATTATGCATTGGGTTTATTATTATAAAAATTGATTTTTTAGAATTTTAAATGGAGTGCATTTGTCTCACCTGGGATAATTTCTGATACACATTATAGAATTTACTAATAAAACCATCTGATTTTTACGTAATTTTATCTAATTTTAACTGGTGTTGGAACCAATCAAAAAACCATTAGCCGGTTAATAACCGGTTAAAGTGTTCCTTAGCCGGTTAATTAACGGTTAATATAATATCTGCAAATGATATTTTTTGACCGAAGATGAACAAGAGAGTAGTAACGTTTGAGTAATTCTGGAGACATCTAGTCTTATATACTGACTCTGACTTCTGCAGAAATCGTTCAGATGTTTTGTCTATTGAAAACTTTTTTTCTAAATAAAATTGCCGTATATGTTTGATAATTAAACGTTGCTACTTGATTTAATGCTTAGATCTCTATCATGATGTGTATGTAATAAGATAAGAATGAGTTCTATTCTAGTACCTCTGCGATTATTTAAACTTTGAGGTTCTATGTAGTAAAAGACTAGTAAAAGTGATTTCCAAATACCAATCTCCTGAATTAATGTAAATCAATAAAATGTTCGAAATTCAAAGGTGAATTATATGTAATAACTTTTTTTGATCTATTATTGCTGTATTAACGTCAACTAGTGCTTTGATCCGCAATCAGACTCGGATTGATCTAATATTTCGGATTAAATGCATCCGGATAGATCATGATATACATGTCATGATTTTGATTGGTCGATGGTGATGAACAGAAAACTGGAAAATGGAATTAATATTATTAATAATAATAAAATAAAATTAAAAACGTACAGCATATTAAAAAAAATTATTATATAGTCTATTATAAAAAATTTATTTTTATATATATACAGTATACTAATAAAATAACTTTTTTTTACTAGCTTCAAAATTCATAATTTGATTGGTTAATTAATAATTTTTTAAAAAATTTTTTTTATTAAGCCTAGTATTTTGGCAAGCTTTACTGATATATATTAGATATAGTATATAGTACTGTACTTGACTACAGTGTTGTACATGGGACGTGTCCACACTATATAAAATATCCAACGTCCAAAATTGTCCAAAATCGTCCAAGCCTATGTCTCATGTTTAACTAATCAATAAAGTAATTAAAAAATATATATAATTATATATTTTTTTAGGTGCTGGACTCATTGGTGA